GCGGCATTTTGATTTTTTTTTTGTATAGCATGTGGTGCGGCCTCATTGCTATAGGGTTGTTCCATAAATTGGTCGGCGTCCCGCTTTGGTCGGGGTTTTGGGGCGCCCGGTATCTTATCTACCCTTTCTTGATGCTCTCTGATTTGGTCACGGAGTGCTTCGTTCTCGTTCTCCATCTCCTCCATTTTTCTAAGGATGGCAGCGAGGGCGTCGTTACCTGCATCATTAACAGAGTGAGTGACACTTGTCGAGGGAGGCTGGGTGTGTTGCTCATTGGTTGTTGTGGCGAGGCCGACTCGCACGCTCTCTCTGCTCACCCTCTGAGTGGGTTTTCGAGTATATTTTTCAGTGTATTTGTTAGACATGCTTCTAGTAGCTTTTTTATCGCTGGTGGTGCTTCTTCCGTGGTGGACGTAGAGGCTCCCTTTCCATGAGAAGCGGTAACGCTGCCATGGGGGAGGGGGGGGTGAATCACTTTGCCTAGGTGAGCCGCTTGGTGTCACGTTCTCCTCATCCTCACCGTGAGTTTCATTGATGGTGTTTAGGAGATTGGCGGTGAGATCGGCTATCGCCTTTCTCTTTTCCTCTCCATTGCCTGCCATGTCAGATTTGTGCAAACAACGAGTTACGAGATTTTGCAAAGTTTTGTGCGTTTTGCGCGTTTTTTTTAGATCTTGAAAAAAAACTAAAACTTTTAACTAGGAAATCCCCACAGACAGCGCCAAGTTGTTTGACCAAAAAGTGTTAAGTCTTTTTGTTAAACTAATTAAATAAATGATACTGGTAAATTCTAGATAAATATAATAAACTCTAGATCCAAGATTGATGGATAACAATAATCTAGAAACCACATTTAAAGCTATTAAAAGCCAAAAAAGGGGTTTACTGATATTGTTGTGAATGAATGAGGGGATAAGGACAAGCAATAAATATGATAAATGGCAATAGCTGTAAATCGCGAGAATAATTCACCCAAATGTATAACGAGGTGGATGATTCTCCCTCTGACAATGATGTAAGATAACCAAAATGTGGGAATATCAAATACTTTATCGGATCTGATGTGGGAAAACTTGGAATAAAACAGCCGGTCGAATCTTATGTAAAGATAATGTTTGTAGTTACTTGAGAGTCAATTTTCTAGAGAGAGCTTATCAAGATAGAAAATTAGATGCCCACTCTTTATCCCGCAATTCCTACTTATATGAGACATACCCCTTACCTACTGAATGTACAAATACAAAGAATATTCCTTTAAAATATCTTATTGCTAAACTAGCCGTTTCGGCCGATTTGAGTGCTCGACCTCGACATTGGCTGCTCGGCTCACCAGTTTTGCTTCTTAAGCACGACCTCGGCCTAATTGATTCTTGATTTCCTTATTTCTGGCGAGGTCCCATCGATCAGATTTTGACCCATATAATCCTGTCTTATTAAATTCTGGCTTTAAGCCACTGATTTTATTGGGCTGGCTTGATTAATGTCAATTCTAATGATAGTTGTAATCCTTATTTGATGTTCATATTCAAGTTTACTATAGAGTTGTGCATTTTGATTCCCGAATTTAGATATATTGAAGTTACATGTGAAATTAATTAGGATATAATTTGAAGTACTTGGCTGAAGGAAAGTTGAGAGATTTTATTTACGTATTCATGAGCATTAAGAGTTCCAACGTTATGTGTAGCAACATATTAGTAGATTCGCCTCACAAATTAACGTTTAAGTACGTACCCTTCTTCTCTAGTTTCATTGTGGACACTAATACATATCACTTAAATAGAGGCGGATCTAGGATTTTTATAACATGGGTGCACCACTAAAGAAGGAGAAAAAAGGAAATATTAAATGAAAATTGATCTCTGCTCCTTTAGGTAAATAACTCAGCATTCAACCAAGTGCATCATTTAGCCTCTTTGGAGCATGGGTGACAGCAGATGATATTAGATCAATTTTAGAAAATATGTACATAAAATACCTAGTTTGGCGAAAAGATCATGGGTTCACGTGCCCCATGAATTAGGCTATACATCCGCCCCAGCACTTAAGTAATTGTAATGAAATGTACATCAAAGAGGTCAGAACGGGACACCGATAGACGATGGATATTTCATTATGTAGAATTGCTTAATTTACACAATATATCATGTATTGCGACAGAATTCTTGGTATAGGAATACAGAATAAAAAACACTTTCGTGTACTTCATAAACATGAATTTCGGCACATTCAAAACGCAACCTTAGATCAAGCTTATTATGGTATTATAGAAAATAGGTCGTTTTAGATTCCCTTCAAGTCGCATCACCACCACCCATTATAAAATGAATTTTCTACGTGATTAATGTTATGAAAAATCAAACTTGCATGTGACTGAGTGTATCGAAGATATAATTAGGTAAATAAAAATACCCCTCTTTACCAACTTAAGTATTTAATTAAATGAGAAGGTCATACTCAATACCAATAGTACCCCTGCGGCCATCTCAATAGGACAAGCTTACACCCTAGCTAGAAACTCCATAGTCAATATTAGCTAATTAACTCTCCGCGCTTTGTTTTGAGAAAAATACATGTCGGAGTCTTCAATTTGAATACATTCATCGTATTCGCCACAATATAATGCAATATATATCCATCTAATATGTTGGCCTTTTTGATATTTGATTTTAAACTTCTGACGTATTGTTCTTTGTTCCCCAAGAGCTGGTTTTAATTTTCTTTATCATAGAAAGGGAAATCCAGAAAAGTTACATATTCAGATAATATATCTTCTCAAACAAAGTATAGGCGGACATATTTTAAAATACACAAGCGATCGTTCAAGTTGATGTAAGAACATAACAAAAAATAACATGACAGCCATTTATAATTAGCTACTAGCAGTTCAGAGAATACAAGTACCTCTACTTTCCTCAGTTTGTATATTCCCATATCAGATGCTTTTAGTTTTGACTACGTGAATTAAGACAACATAACCAACATATAAGTACACAACGTAATTCTTTGGTACACAAAAAATCATCAATTCTTTGCCTTTCGTTTTTCTTCTTGGCTAACTACTGTAAATCCATGGAAGTATAAAATAAATAAAAAATCTATAGAAGTATAAATTCAGGCAGCCCGGATCAACATCAAGAGCTCTCTTTCTGCATTCAAACCGTCGTCAAAATTCACCGTTCTTTTTATACTTTCTATGGCAATACGAGCAGCTTCTCTTTCTCTTTGCCTTTGTTTCTTCAACTCGGCTTTCTTGATCTCTTCACGCAACTGCACTTTTTGCTTCATCAGTAGTTGTTCGTCAAAATCTTTGCCGAGTAGTTGTTGTTCGGACTTGAAGATTATGTTAGCGAAACGATTCTTCAACATCATTGCTCGGAGTTGTTTTTCATCTTTCTCCAACAGCATATCGTCAAAATCAGAAACTTGAGAGATGTTCCTCTTCCGGCAGCAAGCCATCTTTGTGGCAACCGAAAATTTTGGCTGAGAAGAAAGCATCATGTTTACTAAAACTTTAAGAAGAAAACCCTAAGCTCTGCGTATGAAAGGTGAGTAGCAAAATTTAGTGAGTGCTTTGTGAAATATATAGGTAACATTAAGTTTTCCTATCTCCTATAGGAATAAGGAGAGAGTTTTTAAACTAATATGGAAACTTTCGGAAGTGAGAAAATACTAAGCCTATTTAATGCAACCTAGTTTCTTGAACTACGCGTAATTGGTTTCCTAAATATTTAATTTCTAAATGTTTAATTTCTTAAACTATTCAAGTGTTTCTTGTAATTTAAGTAATTATACTAATGTTCGTTAGTTGGCTTTACCTTTTAATTTCTGATATTATTGTCCTCTTTAAATTTTTGGTAGGGCAACGCACATAAAAATTAAACCCATTATAGGAGATATTTATTACAAATCAAATGATATTGAAAAGTATCAACATGTTGGGAAAAAATACGAAAAAGAGGCCAGAGACCATCACAGCATACAAGGCATTTACCTTGACTCCACTTATCCCATGGGTAGAACTTTAAGTTTAATAAATGTTGCCCCTCGCTTGGCCTATAGGCACTTTTGACTTTTGACCTTAAAACATTTGTCCATGGGACAAGGGGTGGCCAAAAAATCAAGATCATCCATTTTTAAGGTTATTGAATATAATTTCGTGTTCTAGAATCTCCAAAAAGTACATTAACTGCAGGTGTATTTGTTTTATGAGGGTAACTCTAATACTCGCGGTATTTTGTTAGATTTAATTTGCGATCATATGATTTTGATTTGTGTTTGGCTATCTCCATTATTAGGTTTCCTATATGCGCATTGCTCCCCGAAAAAATAAAAAAGGGCAAGAACCTAGGGTAACATATTTGAGCGACAATATTAATGTCACAAACAATAAGGTTTAGTAAAATGAAAGTCAACAGTATAATTACTTGAACTACAAAAAATAACCTATCAGCTAAAAACCAGTCAAATTAAAAAATATATATGAATTTACTAAAGTTTATGCTTATGTCTTATTAAATTCTCGCATTAAGCCACCGATTTTATTGAGCTGGCTTGATTCATGTCAATTTTCATGATAGTGGTAGTCCTGACAGAATTGAAAGAAAAACTTGTAGAAAAAGTTTTCTGTGTATTTGAATGAATGTAATCTGTACAGTGCACCTGTATAAATAAGAAAGAATGGAATCTATGTATAACTGACCTATCCATCTGTCCCTATTCTATTTGTTCTCTTATAACAAACTAACAAAAATGGAATCAATATTTACAGCTAGATTTACAGCTAATAAAAAAAAACTACTCAATATAATTCTTCTGAACAGGCCCAAAACGTGTAGAGCCCAACTAGTATATCTGAAGCTTTGAGCCCAAGTAGCCAGCTGAAGTTTTGGCCCAAATATTTATCCTTGTTCGATAAACACATCTAATAATGAGACCAAAATACTACATCTGAATAAACATAAAGCCAAAGCACCCACATCTGATAAACATAAGACAAACTAGCCACCTTCTACAGTAGAACCTTCGAGAGAAACACCATTAGAACCACCATCTCCAACACCCCTCCTCAAGTTGGAGGGGGATGAAAGAACACCCAACTTGCCTAACAAATGGTGGTGAGAAGGTCCAGCCAAGGGTTTCGTGAACAAATCTGCCAGCTGTGAAGAAGAACGAACAAATGAAAGAGAAATCAAGCCAACAAGAAATTGTTGTCTCACGAAATGACAATCAATTTCGACGTGTTTAGTTCGTTCATGAAAGACGAGATTTTTAGCAATATGAATCGCTGCTTGACTGTCGGAATGAAGTGGTACTGGCAAAGAAATGGGGATAGACAGATCTTCAAAGAGGCGTACTAACCAAGTCAATTCTGCTACTACACGCCGCATAGAACGGTATCCCGCTTCTGCTGAGCTAAGAGAAATGGAAGTCTGCTTCTTCGATTTCCATGAAATTGGAGACCCTCCAAGTGAAATGAAGAAACCACTCACTGATTTCCTTATTTCTGGACAAGTTCCCCAATCTGAGTCGCAGAAAGCGATGAGGTGAAATGATGGAGAAGCTGTCATGAAAAGCCCCAAACCTGGGTTCAAGAGATATCGGAGGACACGAAGTGCAGCATGCAAATGGGGCTTTCTTGGATCCTGCATATACTGACTCAAATGCTGTACTGCAAAGCAAAGATCTGGTAGAGTATGAGTTAAATAGTTCAATTTACCCAAAAGATGCCTGTACAAAGTTGGAGAAGAAAGAGCTTCCCCTATTTTGGCGAGCAATTTGACAGTGGGATCAAGAGGAGAGGAAACAGGGGAGCAATGCAGAGAATCAAATTCTTCTAGCAAATCCAGAGTGAATTTCCTCTGGAAAAGAATCAATCTGGATGCCTCACGAAGAAATTCCATACCAAGGAAGAAATGTAAGTCCCCGAGATCTTTTATTTTGAACTCTTGATCTAGAAACAATTTTAGTGTATGTAATTCATCCATGTCATTTCCTGTCTATAGAATGTCGTCTACATACACAGCTACAATAGATATAGAGGATTCCGATCTTTTAAAAAATAAAGAATAATCATTCAACGAATGAGAAAATCCCTTGAAATTCAGGGCTGCTGTAAGTCGTGCGTACCATTGTCTGGATGCTTGACGAAGCCCATAAATAGATTTCCTTAATCTACACACATGTGTAGGTAAAGGGGCTTCAACCCCTGCTGGGAACTTCATATAAACTTCCTCATTCAGTTCACCATGTAAGAAAGCGTTATTTACATCCAATTGATAGAGTCCCCAACCTTTCTTAACTACTATAGAAAGAATACACCTGATAGTTATCATTTTTACCACGGGAGAAAATGTTTCTGTAAAGTCTATCCCTTCTTGTTGTATATCACCCCTAATTACCAATCTTTCCTTCAGCCTTTCTATACTTCCATCAGAATGTTGTTTCACCTTGTAGACCCATTTACAAGGCAAAGCCTTTCTTCCAGGAGGCAATTCCACAACTTCCCAGGTTTTATTGAACTCTAGTGCTGCAATTTCTTTTGCCATAGCCTCCTGCCAACCAGGATGAAGTGCTGCTTGTGTATACCTACTAGGTTCTTGGATATTGGATAGAGCATTAAGTAGATGTTGGTTAGTGGTGGAAAGACCATGAAAAGGGAATGAAGATGGTGATACTGGTGAGAGAAAACAAGGAGTGCTAACATTCGTAAGTTGAATAGCATTGCAGATGTAGTCCTTTAGATAAGAGGGTGAAATGTGTGGTCTAGAAGACCTTCTAATTAAGGTATCCATGATAGCTTCAGGACTAGATGGGGAACAACTAGGAATGTGGACTGCTAATTCAATGGGAGTACTAATGTTAGGATTAGATGCAGAAATAGTGGGTGAAAAATTAGGAATGTGAACAGTGGGATTGACAGGAGTAGCTGGAAGTTGTGAGGGTGAAGAGTGTTCTGACCTTATAGGTGAATTTGAGGAGATAGGCTCAGGAGCAGGTTCCTCACTTATAGGCAACTGAGTGTGTATTGGAACACCATCTGTTGAGTTGACAGACTTAGAAAGATTCTCAGAAGTAAAAGGGAAGTAAGAATTTCCTGCATCACTTGATTTTAGAGAAGCAAAAGGGAAAATTTTTTCATGAAAAACAACATCCCTTGAAACAAAAACTTTCATAGTTTTTAGATTTAACACTTCGTATCCCTTCTTTCCATGTGGATAACCTAGGAACACACAAGAAACTGCCCTTGGTTCAAACTTTGTTCTATGACTTGATAAAGTGGAAGCAAAACATAGGCAACCAAAACACTTCAGGTTTTGATAATTTGGCTTAGAATGAAAGAGCAGTTCATAGGGAGTTTTGTATTGAATAACTTTGGATGGATATCTGTTGATCAAATAGGTTGCTGTCAATAAGAAATCTCCCCAGAAAGTAATTGGCAAATGTGACTGAAAAAGCAATGCCCTAGATATCTCTAATAGATGCTTATGTTTCCTCTCCACAACTCCATTCTGTTGTGGAGTGGCTACACAAGTGGTTTGATGAATTATTCCTTGTGAGAGAAGAAATTCTGAATATGTTTTGCCACTTCCTAACTCAAAAGCATTATCTGATCTTATAATTTGAACCTTTGTGTGAAATTGTCTTTCTACCATTGCTAGAAAAGACTTCAAAATAGGAAAGGCATTTGACTTTGTGCTAAGTAAATAGGTCCAAGTACCCCTACTAAAATCATCCACAATATTAAGAAAATATCTAAAACCATCATAAGTAGGACTCTTATATGATCCCCAAGTATCCACATGAATTAATTCAAACACTGATTTTGTTGAAATAGAACTTGAAGGAAAAGGGAGCTTTGATTGTCTTGCCATAGGAAAAATGATACAAGGATCAGTAAAATTTGAACAAGAAGAAACAGAAATGCTTGATATATTTCTCATACTGCTTAATGGAATATGACCTAGCCTATAGTGCCATAATTTGCCTTGTACATTGGAATTAGAAAAACTGAAACATGAATTAAATTTAGGAACAGAGACTGCCCTATTTTTGGAAACTAAATTACTATTAGACTTGAGAAAACTCTTGGATACAGATGTTGAAACTCTTGGCTTGATGATGTAGAGGCCTCCTTTCTCCTTACCAATCTCCAGAGGGCTCTTCAGTGAAGGGCCCTGCAGTAGAAAACAAGAAGTAGGAGTGAAAAGCACAAATTGCTTGAGATATTTGCACAACTTATGTACAGACATCAGATTGAATTTAAAAGAAGGAATATAGAGCACATTCTTTAATACTAAGTTAGGTAAAATGGAAATAGAACCAGAATGTGTAACCTTGACTCTATGAGAATTAGGCAAAGTAACCATTACAGGCTTAGGCAAAGGTTTGAAATCAGAAAGAAACCCTTTGTTAAAAGTCATGTGTTCAGATGCACCACTATCCATTATCCATGACTTTTCATCTATTTGAACAAAACAAGCATATGAGTTGAAGAATTTAGCTATACCAGCACAATTGACATTTGCATATGCATCAGGAGTAGCAGCATTTTGTTGTCCCATGTTGACTTGCTGGAGCAGCTGCAACAGTTGAGTCACATTCTCCTTTGTAAGTGTCTGCACATCTGTAGCATTGATAGCTCCTTGCTTATTGCTTTCCCCTGAATAGAAAGCATTGTTTGCTTGTGCTGATCCCTGAAATTTCTTCTGTTTTGTGATCTTAAAATCTGCGGGGAAACCATGAATCCTATAACATTTGTCAATGCTATGTCCTGGCTTCTTGCAGTAAGCACAAATACTGGACACTTTCTTTCCCTCAAAACCTCCTTTATTTCCTTTGTATTCACTGTATTTCTTGACCCCTCCTGACTGATTTGCTCCAATGAACGATGCAACATCTCCTGGATAAGCAGGTGTAGCATGGATTTCCCTCTGTTTTTCATCTTGGATTACCAAGGAATATGTTTGTCCGATTGAAGGCAGGGGAGAAGACAAAAGGATATTGCTCCTGACTCCTATGAAAGTGTCATTTAGACCCATTAATGGGTCTGAAGCAATCTCTCATCTTGTTGAGCCTTGAAATTCTTTGCTTTAGCACCACACTCACATTCACAAACACAAGAAGAAAAGGTGTTCAGTGCATCTAGTTCATCCCATAGGCTCTTCATTTTTGTGAAATATCCTGATACACTAGAATTACCTTGCACAACAGCACTTAATTCCTTTTGTAGTTGGAACAACTTTGCACCATTTGTCTGACCAAACCTGTCTTCCAGGTCACTCTAAAGATCCTTTGCACTTTATGAGTACAAGACACTCTCTGCTATCTCCTTGGAGAGTGAGTTGAGTAGCCATGAGAGCACCATATCATTGCAACGAGCCCAGACCCTTTGAACACCAGATTCAACACTAGGAACAACTAAGGATCCATCAATAAATCCTAGTTTGTTCTTGGCTGAAAGAGCTATGACAACAGCTCTCCTCCAACCTCCATAACCTCTTCCATTGAAGACTGAAGAAACAAGAGTCATCCCTGTATAATCTGAGGGATGAAGATAATATGGGTGACCAGAATCAACCATCCCAGTTGTAGTTGAACTAGCTGCAACAGATGTAGCTGCAGTCGGAGTAGCTGGGCTTAATACATCAGTGGTTTGAGCTTCAGTAGACATTGTTGTAATGAACAGCTATTTTTGAAAAATTTGATCTGTAAAAAAAAACGAGCTAGGAGAAGAAGAATATTAGAGCAGATCATACCTGCTTTGATACCATGACAGAATTGAAAGAAAAACTTGTAGAAAAAGTTTTCTGTGTATTTGAATGAATGTAATCTGTACAGTGCACCTGTATAAATAAGAAAGAATGGAATCTATGTATAACTGACCTATCCACCTGTCCCTATTCTATTTGTTCTCTTATAACAAACTAACAAAAATGGAATCAATATTTAGCTAGATTTTTACAGATAATAAAAAAAACTACTCAATATAATTCTTCTGAACAGGCCCAAAACGTGTAGAGCCCAACTAGTATATCTGAAGCTTTGAGCCCAAGTAGCCAGCTGAAGTTTTGGCCCAAATATTTATCCTTGTCCGATAAACACATCTAATAATGAGACCAAAACACCACATCTGAATAAACATAAGGCCAAAGCACCCACATCTGATAAACATAAGACAAACTAGCCACTTTCCACAGTAGAACCTTCGAGAGAAACACCATTAGAACCACCATCTCCAACAAGTCCTTGGTTGATGTGCATCTTGATATTATATTCAAGTTTACTATAGAGTGGAGCATTTTGATTCCTGAATTTAGATATATATGAAGTTACATGTGAAATTAATTGGGATATAATTTGAAGTACTTGGCGCTGAAGGAATGTTGAGAGATTTATTTACGTATTCAAATGAGCATCACTACGAGAAAAATAGGATACATCGACATTTATAATTAATGTCGTAAAAGACATATTTTTCTGACATTTTTTAAAATATGTCATAAAAAACATGACATTTAGTAAAAATTGTCTAGAATATTGCGACTTTTTTAATGTCATATTATAAGTCGGTAATTAGTGACACTTACAAATAAACATGGTAATTTCTCCACTTTTATTTTCATTTGACAAATTATATTAAATTAGTAAACCTAAAAATTCCCACTAAAATTTCTCCCCATCCTTTACTTTGTCCCCTGTCGTCGCCCATCGACCCAAGCAAAGAAAGCCGGAAACCCCTACACCATTACTCCCTCCGTATCATATTAACAGTCGTGCATGGTTACTAAAAATAGTTATCTCAAATTATTTGTCATTTTAGAAGTTCAAGATACAATTGATTTTTTTTCCTTTTTGCCCTTAGTAATAATTGTTCTTGAAGATGGAGATAACACATAAATAGAATAAATATTTAATGAGGAGAGATTATATCTTAAGACATAAATAAGGGTAGAATAGTCCAATATATTTTCTAATTAATATTTTT